TTTTTTTTTTTTTTTAACTTGTAAACACAGGCTAGAAGATCTCCAACATGACCTATGGTTTCTCTCGGGCATCTGTTAGGTTGCATGAAGTGGCACCAGATGCATTCAGAAAGCTGCCGTGGAGGCAGTAGGTGTGTTTTCTGTGAGCGCAGGCAATTACTCTGCAGAGAATGGGATGTCTACATGCACCAAAGTGGAGAATGATTGAGTGGAGTGGCTGTAATTTATTAATTATGGTCTATATTCTTAGACCACGGTTCTGGCTTCATTCAATTTGTATGGATTGAGGGGTAATTACGGTGTGTGTGTGTGTGTGTGTGTGTCTGTGTGTGTTAAGGAGAGAGAAAGAGCTGAAGATCTATTCATGTCATAATTTAAAGTGCAGGTTACTTGTGATATTCATCTTCATATTGTCCCGTCTTCTAATAAGGCCAGTTCATATAATGCAGTTTATTCAAGAGAAGACCCTGATTTAAAAAAAAAAAAAGTTTCTGACTTGCAGTCAGAGCATCTATTAATTGCAGAGCTGTGAAGCAACAATTAAGTTCTTTTGAGCGTAACTTGACTACACAGCCCCTCCTAGCTGATTAATAGAGGCAAAGCCGGTAGGTGAAAATCTGCAAATTCACCGACAACATCTCGGCTAACGGAGAATGGTACAAATAATCAGATCTCGGTTGCCGGAGATACATCTCGTCTCCCTGACAAGCTACAGATTCCACACAAATGTAGCTTGTTAATTTAACTCCACCACGACATTCCTCTCCATTTGGCCATCTCCCAGGCTGCACGCGTCACGAGCTTGTAATGGACAGCTGGTGCACTTGGTGCTTAGCACAGAAAAGGCAGAGAGGGTAGACATCAACTGCTTTGTGTGATAATGAATGGAGGCACACAAAAGGCCAGGAGCAGGCCATTTACAGAGCCTGCAAATTCTGCTGTCTAAATAGATAATATTGTCAGCCACTGTGTCTTTTGGGGTTTCTTTTACTGTAGTGAAAAAAACAGCATTCACCCCTTTGAGGTAAATATATGCCTTCCCCATTACTCTTACTTTCAAATATTTATGATAATCATTAGAAACCATATTCTATGTGTTCTGTGTGAGCATGGCTATAACTCCACTTATCAAAGGATCTGTTTCACTAAAAGAAAAAGAAAGAAAGAAGACAACTGTAGTTTTTTTCAGTTATGCAAAATTAAACAAAGCACACTTTAAAGTTGTGTCACTGAGAATACAATTTAGGCGCTAATTCCAGATTCATAGCTCACTTATTTCACTGCGTACCCAACAAGCCTGTAGGGACGCAGTGCGTAGAATGACATCTCCACTGTGGAAAAGTTTTCAAAGAAAAGTTTTTAGATTGATTTTTTTTTTCTAGAAAGAAAGATCTATTAGTTGCATTGCATTTCCCAGCAGAGATGAAAATTATGTGGACACTACCGTGATGTTCAGATTTCTGTAATTGGAGGATCGCTCTCGAAAGGAAACTGGAATTGGAAATAATTCGCGCCAAAGAGCGTGTAGGAAGCTACGGAGGAAAAATAACCGTGCAATTACGCATGAGAAGAGTGCTGCAGAATCACAAGTGTCTGTAATGAACTAGTGAAGACACCGGCACTTATACAGTGGAAGGCAATGATAAAAGCTGCCTTGTAATAGCATGTGATTAAACTTAGTAAAAAAAAGGAAAAAAAATCTATTTTTTCACTCGAGCACTGAACCACAGTGAAGAGTCCCGTGGAGAGATTCTGCATCTGTCAGTTTGAAGATGACTCAATGTGTTTCCTCCAAATTCATCACCCAGCATGCAGTTCCAGTCATTTTAGAGGGCTCTTCAAGTGCTCTTTTGTTAATTTAGTTAAACATGAAACGTTAGAGTTCATGTTTTACACATTCCTACTTAACACAGGTGGAGTTTGAGTTTCACTAAATTTGAATACATGTTTAAGATTAAGCTCCAAGCCATTATTATTCATTAGCAAATAATTTCCGTGAATGTGGAATGAGCCCGGGTTTGCAGGGCACTGTGGGTAATAATATCTGCTCTACTGCATGCATATATATATAGAATATTGTTAATTTGTATACTTTGTCTAGAAAATACAGCGCGTGCATTAATAGGGTTTTGTAATATGGTTGCTGTAACAGGATTTTCTTTTTAAATATGTTGGCACCATTAATATGAAGTTCCATGCAGTGAACTGTATTTCAGGGTGATTCTTCACTCAGTTCAAATATCCGAATGTTCAGCTATGTAAAATGTTCAATTGAACATTTTCAACATTCAAATTTTGAATTGAAAGCATAAAAAATATTGTATAGGCACATTTTAAATAATTAGAAGATCGAAACTCTGTCTTTGATTCTTTTGCAAGATAAATAAAGAATTAGAGCGAATTTTTTTCCCCTTTTTTGTGCAGTTTTACAATTAAACAACAACAAAAATAAAGTATTTTGAAATGAAAATCATTAGCTATGTCCCTTACTATATGATTCTGTGATCACCACGGAAAGTCAGAAACCATTATTGAATTGTTGCACAATCCTTTGTCATAGCACATTTAATAAGACCACGTAAGCTTCATAGATAACTTTTTTTTCCAGTTGATGATTCTGTGACATTATCTAACTTGGCATTAAATGCTGGTTTTAGTATTTAAAAGAAACTTTTCTGTGGTCATTGGCCAACATGTTCATTTTTATCTCTGTAGGCTCAGTTATTTGTTTTATGGATTCAGGATATTAGAGTGATCCCCGCAGCATAGGTTCTAAGATATGATCAATAGGGATTCATGAATAATGAAGAGGCCGAGTGGAGCGGAGGCACTTAATTACAGCTTCGAAAGCCATTCTCGTTAATTGAGGAGAATAAAGGTGCTGAAGTGGCTTAAACGGCAAAAACTGTAATTTTTTTAAATTATTTAAAAAAAAATTTTGTCACTCTTCTTTTTTTAAATTACAGCAAGCCTCTACCTGAAAGCCAGATGGATCCAAGCTCTCACCTTTGTTTTCAAATAGATACATTTTAGATTACATTATTTTATATTTAGTTTATTTTTGTTCTCAGGCTTTCTTTGACCATTTGTGAGCAGACTCTCATTCTTTTAATGTAAATGCTAATATGCTGCATATCCAGACAGTGTGTGACTGCTGTGCACTGCAGATACAGTATATAATTGACAGCCCTGCCATCTGTTACAGTTATGTGAAATTATGGATAAACTAGTTAACAGACACTTTGGCCCATTGTCTGTTGTTTTGATAATCACCCTTAATAACGGACGGCATCAATATGGTCTTTAAACCTGATTTGGGAGTTAATGGAGTCAGATGGGGGCAGTCAGTGTATGCTCTGGGGGTAATGCTGTTAGAGATGTTCGTAAAGAGCAAATTAAATCAGTCATAGATTGTGCCCTCTCAAGTCAGCCAGACAACCAGACCTATTGAGGAGAAAAAGGAGGGGGATTCATATTTTAACCTCTCGCAGAAA